TAGTGCGCTTCAACAAAGCGCTGTCTTTGTCAGCCTCTTTTGTGCATCAGTTCTTTAGTGCGCTTCAATAAAATTTTCAATTATGAACGTAATCCAACTGGCCCAACTTGCCATATTGCTGGATTATTCACACCATGGGTTTCCATCTATATTGGAATACCTAGAGACTCTTATCGCAAGGCAATGAGAATTTACACGAGAAGAGTGTACGAGTACACTTGTGTCTCACGAAAAACTATGCAATGCTTCCCCGTATGGCATGAGCAATGAAGCAACAACACCCCGGTTCTGATTTTCTTTGTCTATGTGAAGAAAAACATTTTGTACAACATTAATGATTTTTATACTGTTCCTGGGTCATTTATCTACAAAATGTATATTCTGAATTTTCTTTGTTCGAAATATTTTTGTATATAGTGTTTTTTATTCCTATCTTTATGATTTCGTAACAAAAAATTTCTACTTTTCACATTTTTATTCATTCTAAAATACTTTTGTTGCTCTACAACCTATTATTTTTGGAAAGAGCATTTCATTTTGCAAAGCTTGGTATGGTGCAATGCCTGCTGGAGTACTTTTCAAACTGGTAAAAATGATCTTCCCGAAACATGAAAAAGAACCATTTTCGCACGGTAATGAAAGAGCTAATAGGAGAGAGCATAGTAAGTAGGTTGCGCTCTCATTGTAATATATTCCCAGAGTCAGTTGAAACACACTGCATTTCATGCAAAGGGTGTGCTTTTTAAATGTGTGAACACTTCTTTGGCTAGCCTTACCTACGATGGCACAGCTGGCTGTGTGCCCTCAAACAAGCCATTCTTCCAATGTGGACTAAAGAGAAAGTTAAAACTGTTTGTCAGCTATCAAACTTCGGATTGAAAAGTCATGAATGTCTTTTCTAAGCACCAAAGCCACTCTATGTGGCTGCAACAATTTCCAATGCTGCTCTTGGCCATATACTTGAACCAAATGCAGCAGCACACATCAATGCAAAAGCTTATGTCTATGAAGCTGTAAATGATACGCCTGCATAATTATAATATGCGCAACAATTCAGAAAATTGTGACAAATTCCAAAGACCATATTATCTGGTGTGAAGCGTCTCCATAGACTTGTATTATTTGCAACTTCATATACACATGAATGAATTTAAAAGTGTGCATTATCAGTGTCCAATGTCAACATTAAAAAAGGACTTCCACGTGTAATATATGTATAAAACAAATAATAAAGTTGCAGCAACAACCAAAACATAATTTGCCTTGTCGGGAACACCTCATAGGATTGACAGCTAGCTGGGTGTGCAAATAAACGTTAAGCAAAGGTTAAATGCACGTAGCTAAAAATAAAACTGCACGCCAGGTGCACTCAATCAAGTACTTGGACGGTGACATACTTCAGTCTATGTCACTCATAAATTCACACATGGGAGCAGACACCAACCATTTGAAACACCCTTGCTGCCAAACTTAATGCCCCTTGATTATGTCCGAGGAAAATGTCCGAGGAAAATGTCGGAAAATGTCCGAGGAAAGCACAGTTGAACACGACAACGATTGAGATTGCGGATATGTGCTCAATAAATGTGTTTTCGGTTACCTTTCCTATGTCGTTTTATACACGGGTACAATTTTTTTTTTTTTCATTTCACGGCTCTAAAATTTGGCCTCGTATTATATTCGGGTTCGTATTATACGTGGGTTTTGACGGTAGTGCGTATGATGCAACGTTTCAGTTCGTGGCCTAAATCAACAGCAACAAAAGCCCGCCAAGCTTTTGTAATCCCATGCACAGGCATCGAAGGAGAAAGCTCATGTCATAAAGCCGTAAGGCTTTTAAATTTGCGGACAAAACAGCAAGCATGATATCTGTAGCAAACGCGATAACGATGATGCTTTTCTCGACAGGAAACTCAAAGCGCAGTTGACACAATCGCACTTGCTACGTGGCGCCAGTGCAAAGGCTGCTCCGGCGTCGAGGCAACTGCCCTCCTTCCTCACTTGGAGAACCCGTACAGGGCTGCCATGATCGTTTTTTCTATCCTATCTCCTTCCTCCATCCCTTTTTCGCTTTATCTGTGCCCCCTTGATCTTGGTAACGATCTCGTTGCTCTCTCGCTATGGCAAACCTCCTTCAAAAAGTGCACTTGCTGCTGCATCTTTGTCACAAACATTTTCCGGCAACCACATTATTACTGGTATTTCATGTTGGGGGGACTGCACAATAAGTGGTAGGCGCATACAGGGGGCTCTATGGGAGAGTAAACGGAAGTCCAAAAAGATTGCGTTGTAACCAGTTCTGCACTATAAGCAGTTACGTTATCAGTATTCTACACTGTATATGACTTTTTAGAATTATGAGGACATTTTATAGAAAGCTTGTCACTAGGAAAGGTGATACTACCCGTCCCCACAAAAGAAGACTTCATCTGCACAATTGCTTGGCTGTGATCATGGTGCTGAGGGGAGAGGATCAGGAGGCTCTAAATAAAAATGACATCGTGAATAGCTCTGCCCAATCTCCTATGACTCTTCCACCCATTGTCGTATGGAGAAATCCTTTGTGTAAACACCCCTTCAGCCTCAGCATAATTTAGAGATTCTGCTAAGATAAACAGAAGTCTCGAACGCTCGGAACTGTAGCGTCGTACTAGTATGCTCAAAGGATGTGCATTTCAGCAAGGCTCCACACTGTGTGCAGTGACTTGAAAGCGCAGTAATACATAAAATCCACATCTAACTATTACACAATGGAAAATCATCATTTAAAATAAAACACACACATTGTGCTTCTTCCTCGACCCACAAAAACAAATAAATATGCAGAAAAATATCAGGACGTTTTACCACTTTTTTGCAATTATTGACTAGATTTTTTTTCAAGTAAATTATTGGGTACTTCTACTAAGAATAAGACAACTGGCTAAGAATACTTTACCATTAAATGAATGCAAAATGTGAAATGTTTGAGTAAAGATGCTAAATATTGAGTTTAGCCTTGCATCTTGTGCTATAATAGAACCCCTGTGATTTGATTGATTTGTGGGGTTTAACGTCCCAAAACCACCATATGATTATGAGAGACGCCGCAGTGGAGGGCTCCGGAAATTTCGACCACCTGGGGTTCTTTAACGTGCACCCAAATCTGAGCACATGGGCCTACAACATTTCCGCCTCCATCGGAAATGCAGCCGCCGCAGCCGGGATTTGAACCCGCAACTTGCGGGTCAGCAGCCGAGTACCTTAGCCACTAGACCACCGCGGCGGGGCAATAGAACCCCTCTACAAGGGACATTCACACGGGAGCAGTTCCTATTCCTTATACAAGTTGTCTCTTATAAGCAGAATACCCAAGACAAATTTTCTGAAGAACCCCTATTTCGATGTAAACACACTGGTGTTTCTTAAACCCAATTGTCCGTGACTTCAGTGCCTCTCATGAAAGGGCTCAACTCTAATTGCACACACAAAGGTGGTAATGTAAAAACATGTTGAATTTAAGGGTGCGTGCATAATTTAAATGTCAAATACACAGCCCATACAGTTAGATACATATTTGAAAAAACATTATTCACACAATAGCATCGAACGCGTAGAACGCGTGATTCGGAGGTCGTAGGTTCGACTCCTGCTCACGGCAAGCTATTTTTTCACCCACTTTCCTTCTTATTTACTTTACATTGGTTCTAATAACTTCCCCTATCCCTTCCTTGGCGTTATTGTCTGTCTGTTAGATCTCATTATATATATATATATATATATATATATATCGTATTTTAAAACAAACTATAAACAAGGAAACACTTGTTGGAGTCCTTGTGTAAACAATACGATAAATGCAAAGACTGTTCTGAATGATTATTTTGCAGGACAGCTGAGGTCCTTGCACAATGAAATAAATTTTCTAACAAACACATGATGCACGTGACTTACAAGCACAAATTTCTAGTCTATATACAGTTAAACCCACTTATAAGGATATTGGTTTTAAATTTATCTCAGTTATAACAATGAGAAGCTGCTTCATTGTAAATTCTTGTATGTTTTTTTATTGTGAAAGAGCCGCTTAATCAACGCCTGCAGGGAGCATTATCGGTTATAACAATAAATTCTGGCTGTTGGGTGTCTGTGGTAAAAAGTATTGAAATGAAAAATCCTTGAAAAGAAGAAAACGAGAAATTTCATAGTGCTGAATTTGTGCTCATAACACCAACGTTCCCCAGTGCCTGTTGGGATTCCCATTATGCTGCAGCGCATAGTGGTGTCATAGTGCGGGAAAGTTGACTTTTGTAGTTCACAATGGCGTAGGAGCTGTGGCAGCTTCTTTTGAAGCACTTTCAGACATGCAATCTAAGTAAAAGTTCAAATTTCGAAGCGTTACAGCATCCGAAACTTCAGGGGTTGTTATACATAGGCTCTAAGGGGCTTGTGGCAGTCCGATGAAAGCGTTCAAATTTTGAAGCATTGCCGAAAAATTGGCACTTCTATCTCTATTATGGTTTTCTCACTACAGCTCGCTATCCCCCTATTAATAGATTTCTTTTCGTGCAACCCACTTTATAGCAATTATCGGTTATAACAATGATGAGTTCTTGGCACTTGAGTATTGCTATAAATGGGTTCGATTGTATAAGAAAGCCTTACTTCCAGATATGCTATACCATAAGTATGGATTTATTGTGCTTTAGAGTGGTTTTACCAATTTTTTATCCCCTAAAAACAATGTGCGGAATTGTGGAATCACATTTCTCTCCTTCAGCAAACATAACATTTCATATGTGGCATTAATGTCATTGCTATACTGCCACAAATAATTCAAAGCAGCATATTTCACAAGGGCCTTTTATTTGAGCTCCCAAATCTGAACAGCATTTATACGTAAGCCTTATTTCTTCTCATGTTTATAGACTTTGCAATACCTTCCATTTTTTATACGGTTTGATTAGAAGATTCCCCTTTTGCACACCTTTAGATGTGATAACATTTAACACAGTACTCACAAGATTTTGTAGGAAACTTCGCACTTTCTAATTCTCCATAGAGCCAGTGTCTGAAAAGAGAGAAAATAATTTCATCAGCTAAGCACAATGTCTCTGGGCTTTCACAGGAAGGGGAAAGCAACTAGCCACAATACAAAATAGGCAAAGTGGAAAAGTTGCTGCTTCCTCTTACAATAATGCCACAGTGTTTAAGAGGATAATATGACACTTTTCAAACACTGAATGGGTGCTGATGCATAGGTCTGGTTAAAATATATCCCTGTAACGCGAATTGCATAACCAACAAGACCCCCTCTCAGTTCATCTACCAGTGCAGTCCAGGTCAACTGTATTGGACCCATTCACCAGCCGCCGTAGGCACTAACAAATTACGTCAATGAAAGGTCATGGTGAGAGAAGTTATAAACAAAGCGTTAGCTTTATTTTGCTCTAATATGATAGATTCACAGAAACCTGGGAAAGAAAAAATAACACAGCGATTTTTGCGCTCCGAGCTATGTATTGTAAAAGCTCGCGTATAGCCCGGGATTTTACAGCGAAAGCTGTTATGAGATTACAACTCGGGTCTCACGCAGCGCGGTAGTTGTCCACCGCCGCTGCCGATGTCCGCAACACATTGCGCGAAATTAGAAAAAAAAAACCTAGAACCAATGACACAGTGGGGCTCGAACCCAGGTCCGCTGGGTGCCAGCTCAGTATTCTACCACTGAGCCACGCCAGTGCTTGGGAATTGTTGGCAAACTTGCCTTAGGCAGGCTTGATGTCTGGAAAGCCATCGCGTTAATACGACTTATAAAGCATTTTAAAACAACGAAAGAACAACCAGTCGTCGCACAATGCGAATAGCATAACGAGTGGGTAGTCCAAAGCTCCGACCCATTACTAAAGCTTGCTTTTGTTCAGCTATAAACTATGGTGCATGCCCCCATAAGGCATAATTCCTCATCGACGTCAGCCACTGCATAAACAAGGGGCACAAAATTCCTCTCAATAGTTCAGCGGATATCACGTTTCTCAGAAAAATGAGGAAAAATAGCATAGCAAATGCCGGCCTACTACCCTAAATTTTTTATTATTAATGTAGAAGTGGGCATCAAGCAAGTGTGCTTGTAGCAGTTACCCAATAAGTGTTTAGAAAAGGCTCTAAAAGGCCACTCTTCTAGCTTTCGCTGTGACTGTGCTGCGTTTTCTGCAGAGGCCTGGCATTTTTTTTTTCTTTCTAGACTTTAAGGTACGAAATTTCAGCCCCGTACTGTATGCGGGTTCCAAAAATTTTTGGCTGACATTCAGTTTTGATTTCGGCATAGCGCAGTGCTATTATCATCACTATCAGGTGTTTGTGTGCTTCTGCGTTAGGTGCTAGGTAGCGTTAGTGGCAGTAGCTGGAGTTAGTCTTAGGGCTGGTTCACGCTAGCGGCAAGCATGTCTTGCCGTTTGATGTTCTCAAGCTGCCATGCACAGGCAGTTTCCTTCATGCACGTCTGCCGTTCTTTGACTTCCGAAGAATAGGTCTGAGAGCCATTTTGGTGCCGTTTTCATTTACCCGAGAGCGGCGTAGCCAATCAGCGATGAAGAAGCTACATCGGTGAGCCGCGTCTGCTTTCTACTTTTCGCATCGTCTGTGTCTACTGCGGGATGCTTATAGCTGCTTGCTTCTAGCTCCGCCATTTTCACGCTATGTCATACGTATTGTTCCCAGACTACGTTCCAGCAGTTCCGGTATTTAAAAAAAATGCACACTAATTAAAATTAACGTGTCCAAAAGCAGGCGTTTGGACAAGTCGCAGCAGCTATCCGGGATTAGCAACAACTAACAAAAGTGTAATATATGCCCTGCGAGATTCAAAAAGGCTTGCCTAAGCCTATAAAATCAATTATTTGAGTATGTCTCTCAAAAACCTTGCCGAATCGATTTGAGTACTGTATTGTCGAAGCCAAAGGACACGAGTCTAAAGTAAATGGAAGCATCAGTTCAGAGCTTACGAGCTACAGAGCGCACGACGGCCGCTTGATAGATTCGAGGCGGTCGACCACTGCATTCAGAAGGGCAGCCATGTTTGTTGGAGGCTGAAATGCCTTGCTGGTGAAGCTTGCCGTGCACTTTGAATAGCTCCCCCGCGGACGACGGCGGTTGATGGTCTACAGCACTGTGCGGTTATGGCGGGCTCACCGCTAGCGTGAACTGGCCATTACAGACCCACGCTTGAAAGAGTGGTCAGTGGCCTTTGCTTCAACTTGGCGCCCATAACGATGGCCATGATTCTGCTCCTGTGGTGTTACGCCATGTCGGCACCGCGCAGGCAGTACTCGACTGCTTTTAAAAGGAAAGTCATCTCTGCTGCCAAAACCATTGGCAACTGTGCCGTCAAGCGACAGTTCGGAGTCAATGAGCGGAGTATTTGCGGTTGACGAAAGCAGAAGGATGCCCTCTTTGCTTGCAGCGGCCAGCGAAAAAGTTTCCACAAACCAAAAATGGAACGTTTCCTGACGTGGAGCGAGAACTCACAGACTCTATGTGGAAGCAAACTCACAGACTCTATGTGGAAGCAGCGAGCTGCACATCTCGCTGTTAACATCAAGCTGCTACAAGTGAAGGCGAGGGAGACCGCCCGAGACAAGGGCATTCAGCCGGAGAATTTCAAAGTGAGCAAGCATTGGATGCTCTGTCGATCTCGCAGAAGCTACTAAAGAGCTACGAAAAGGACCTTGTGAAGTTTCAAAAGCATGTAATTGTGTTGCGAAAGGCTGTCCCCTTTCAGCTGGGCCAGATCGGCAACAGGGATCAAATTCCGGTCTTCCTGGATATGCCCACGGCGCTGACGGTGCATCAGAAAGGCTCCATGCAAGTTATCGTGCGATCAACTGGTAATGAAAAAACACGGGTGACAGTAATGTTGTCCTGCACTGCAGACGATCTCAAGCTACGACCCTGTATGGTGTTCAAACGAAAGGCGCTACCGAAGGGAGACAAGTTCCCAAAAAATGTTGTCATCCGCTGCCAAGGCAAGTGTTAGATGGATGAATCGCTAGTGCTTGACTGGATAAAGTCCGTGTGGTGTCAACTGCCCGAAGCACTACTGGGGCTCCCTTCGATGCTTGTGCTCGATGGGTTTCGGTGTCACCTGACTGACTCCGTAAGGCGACTGCTGCGCGACTCCCTGGATGACATCACAGCTGCAGCCGCTTGATGGGTGCCTTAATAAGGAATTTAAGGACCAAGTAAAGTGCCTGTATGCAGAGTAGATGAGGTCCATAGAACCAGAAGTAACCTCTGCCAGACGGCTGAAACCGGCCTTGCGAGCGATGCTGTGCTTGTGGATAGTCGAGGCTTGTGCTTGCATTCCCGGGGTGCTCGTTTGCCGTGCGTTCATAAAGTGCTCCATCTCGAACGCACTTGATTGCACTGAAAACAATGCGCTGTGGGAGAACATTTCCGACAAGGGAGCTTTGGAAGAGAGTGCGTCTGATGACGGCAATGAATGGAGTGTGACAATAAATGCGTATTTTCGTTTTTCCTCGAGCTATATTCGGGTGAAAACTTTTTTTCTCGCATTTTCTATCCCCAAATTACACCCTGGAATATATGGCAGTCAGAGCTATACGTGGGCTTTTACGGTATACTGTGGAATTACAGTGAGCGATCTGCTTGGTTCCGCTTTTGAGAACATCCGGGCTCCGTCGCGTGTTGCCTTCGCTTGCTCAGTGCAGCATCCCAGGGTTTTTCTTACTGGTTGCGTTAAGTTGTGTTTCACGGCGTGTTTTGGGTGGCTTAGTCCTTGTTATGCCTACAGTGTGCATCATCAGACAGTGCCGCGCATATAAACAAATTGAAACAATGTTCGTGATGGCTTTACGGTGCCGCAATTGAGATTGTATGATGCTACGAACCTTGGTCAACTAGGATTCAGCAAACATCGCTGTGTCACAACGTTTTGTCAATGACAGAGACTTTTCATTGGCTCCTGTACAGTTGAGGGGAACAAGAGTAGGGAATCGAAATTATGGTTTTATAGCTATTAAATGAACTGGATGCTGAAACGAGTAGAGGTATATAGTATTGAATGAACGCCAGGATTCTGAACACACATGTGGTTGAAAATTTTCAGAAAATGTTTTACGACCCCTTTAGCACACGCAGCATTTACTGAGTCAACTTGCCTTATGTGTGTGAGGTGCACATGAAGAAAGTGTTTTGTGCCTTTTTTTTCAGTTCAGTGGTGGCTTTGTTGATTTTCTTGCAATAGCAAAAGATATTCTTATGTAAACGAATCAAAGAAACTGTTTGGAAAGGGCGGTATAATTGTAAGCTTCGATGGCTAACAGAAATGAGATTTGGAACACTCATGCAAACACTTAAGCAAGTAAGCTCAGTCTACATTACGTGTCCCTGCATGGAAAAAATTTCACCTAGGATGACAATGGCCACACTTTGATGTTGAGCTCTTATAAACAGTGATTGCAAGTACAATAAAACCTCGTTAATTCAAAGCCACTGGGGTAGCCACAAATCTTCGAATTAAGCGGGCTTTCAAATTAACAGAGCATACAAACAGCTGGATGCAAAAAACATTGAACTTTTCAAAGTAATCAGGGCTTGTCGTTTGCTGTGCCGGCTAGTTTATGTTATGTTAAACCAGTTTATGCTAGTTTATGTTATGTTATGTTAAAGGGTTATGTTTTCCAGCAAGACCTGGTCTTAATTTTGCAGCAAACACGGGAGAATGGCAGGCCTCACTGCTGCCACCTGGAGAAAAAAAAAAAGACGTCGCGATCAAGTAAACTGTGCGCCTGTGGAAAATAAGACATCTTCACTGCAACACAGCAGTGACACGCGGGCAGCATGTCGCCTGCTTTTTGCTGTGTCAGCACGACATGATGCGACCATTCGCACGTTCTTTCTGGTAAAATAAGAAATCTATTGATGAGCAGCACGATGAAATTCACGATGTGTTTTCGCTAGAAAAAAGTATCATTAAAACTTTCAAAACTAGTTTTCGAAGTAGGCTCTGCAGGCAAGAGCTCGGAATGCAAGGGTGCAAATAGCTGGAGC